TTACAGCTCTGCCCCTACACACACACACACACACACACACACACACACAGAGAGAGATCCAGACGCAGCCTTTAGGCTCAGTGTAATCACAGCTCTTTCTGCTCTCCTGCACTGTGGTTATTAATCAAACCAGACGACAGCTCAAATGAGCCAATCAGAACCTGCAATTAAAAGCCAGGAAGCCTTCTGATTGGCCATCTATGCCTTCAGCCCCAGGGTCAAAGGTTAATCTCCTCAAAGAGCAGGAGGGGGGAGGGGGTTGGCTAATTAAGTTTTAAGGAGTAATCACCGGTGCCTGTCCACAAAAAAATGATGTTTGTTTATGTTTTCTGTGTGTGTGTGTGTGTGTGTGTGTGTGTGTTGGAGACACAGGGTAACTCAAAAGGAGCAGAAAGCCAGGCAGTAATGTTTTTCATGTGACCACAATAAACATCCTGCAGACGTTACACACTGACTGCAGGGAGCTGAGCTGGAAGAGCACTGAGTGGTGGTTGTGTGTGTTTCGCCGTACCTGACTGGTGGCTCCATGGTAGAACAGTGTGTGTGTCGGTGCACGGCTCCATGGGAAATGTAGTCTTGAAGCAGAGGAAGCCAGTCAGATCAGACCAACATAACAACCACCAACCTGTCAGAGAGACAAACGAGGACGATCAAACAAACAGGTTTTAAATTTTCACTGGAACATTTCCACGATTATGTTGTTAATCTGAATGTTTCTATTCCACATGGAACAAAACAAGGCCAAACAAACAATCAGGGCTGATTATTAGTAATCAAGGAAACCCATAACCAATACTTGGAACCGATAGATTTGGAGCAAAAATGAAAATCTTAGCTCCAGCTGCAATGTTGAAGTGATGAATGAACTAATGCATCAATAATTATAATACAATAACAGAATATGCATTATTCTAAGTATATTTAAAGCTAATACTTTTGTTTGAGTGTAAAAATACTCTGTTACAAGTCCTGTATTCAAATCCTTACTTCAATGAAACATCGGAGTAAACTTGAATCATATGCTCAATGCTTTAAAATAACTTTTCCATGTTATCTTTAATTGAGTTTGCCTCAGATCTAAAGTTAAGAAGAAAAGAACAAAACAAAATAATGATACCAATTATTGGAAAAAAGCTCAACATTGGATCTGATGTCGGTCTAACCCTACTAGGAAGATCAATCTTGCCATTTTCTTAGTAACCTACTTCTTTATCATCATCATCATCATGATGTAAAACTTTGAAGAACTTGATATTACTGAAGCAAATCAAATCTAAGAGGTCAGGGACAGTAAGCAATCTGCTGTAACAAAGATGGGTTATATATTTTATGTATACATGTTTTCTGTGAACCATCATAAAAAACAACCAAATAGCTTCTCCAGTGATTTGGTTACTGAACAATATTCTGTAATGATCCCTATCAACCTCCAAAAAGATCATTAGGATCATCGCAACACTCTTAAATAAAAGAGGAACCTCCATTAAAAGACTCCTAGAGCACCCCAACGGCCAACAGAAGTTTCTCAGAAGATCCCTTATAACACTGTCAAGGAACACAAGAACCTCTTTATATTCCCTTCAATCTCCTCATGGATCATTGGAACCTTGAAGATTCCTTAAAACCCAATCCACATCCAACAGAACATTCTCAGAACCCCTGAATGCCAAATGTGCCATGGGAACCTATTCAAAGTCCTAGATCCCTTAAATGATCCCTGGAACCTCTGTAACAAACACAACACACACGTTATGGGCATCCAGCAAGTAATGGAGACTTCTTTAAGACCACAACAACAATATTTACATATCTGAATGAGGACATTTGTCCCAGTCAGTTTGACAGGTGATACAGCTGTGCAGCAGTCATAAGTAACCGGCGTTGCTGAGGACTCAAGCTATGGAAATACACACTACGGCAGTTTTGGCTCAACCGAGTGAGGGAAGCGAGGATACACATACATAGCATACTGAAAAGCAGCCAATGAACGCTTCAAGACTCTTTGCGTCCTCTGAAGTCCACTAGAGCCCCTCAGGGTCCAATGGAATTGCCTTTAAGACTCCAGGGCACGAATCCGGTCCATCATTAGATCACTGCTGCTGTTTGTAAGGAGATAAGTGGAGCAGCGTGGCTGACAGTGGGAGCCTCCTCCCTCCTCGTCTCCTCCAACACAGAAGCCTTTTTATTTGACAGCACAGAGCTCCTCAAAAGAGGCTTTATTTAGTCAAGGAGGCCGACGTCAGGAGAGTGAGTTAATATTCACACCCAGCTGAGATACTGCAGACAGAACAGGAAGCTGTTCGCACAACAGCTAGACTAACAAAATAAAAGAGTCAAGTTAAACTAGTGGCTGAAATGTTCACTGCAATCCAACAGATTTAAATGTTGCACTGAACAAACATGATGATTTCTGATGAGTTCATCCTCTGAACACAACACCCAGAGGGAATTTTAAAGAAGGTCTGATCAAAGGTTTTTGAGAGCTCTCACTTTGGACCAGAGTTTTGGACATACAGATGGAGACACCAACTGACTGACGTTGACTGTGGGTAAAAAAGAGCAAACTGATCCCTTGAGATCAAAGGTCGGGGTCAGGAGTGAGCAGCAGATCTTCAGCATGGTGTGCAGGGTCTGCTCCCGTCTCCTCTGGCTTCACACTACAACACCCTGCTGCCGCCAAAACCAACACACTCAGCTGGAAAATGAGCTCAAGACAGTGTGGAAAAGTGTTGATGAGTTGACCAGCAACTTCAGAGTGTGTGTGGGATAGAGTGAGTGCTGGGCTCCACCCCATGGGAGGAAAAACGACAGCGGTAGGGATTCAGCCACTGAGTTATTATAGAACAGACGAGGAGAAAATAGATGTCCGAAGACGGGGGCTGAGAGCGGTCACGAGGTTGGCGAAAAAACAGCTGCTGACACACACGCACGCACACACACACGCACACACACACAGTTTATGGATAGAGGCGTTGCCAAGAAAAAGAGACAGACGAGGGAAAAACAGTTCCTGCTCTCCCACACAAGGATGAACTGAAGTGAAACAGAGCTCTGCTTTCTATGCAACTATCTTTATGTGAACTATGATTAATTCTAACAGCTGAGTGGAAACAGTATAAAAGCAGTAAAAACCTTGCAACCAACATTGCAAAAAATTATACAGGTTTTACCCCCAACTGGAGGGAAAAGTTTGGCTGAAATATAAATGATGCAAGAGGAAATAGGAACACTAAGATCACATAGATAGTGCTTAAGTCTAAGACTCAATACTGAAAAGACTGACTGGATTACAGATT